GTTGTGTACTCCGATCCATATATTTGATCTTTGTTATTTATATTTAACGAATTAAACATTGACAAACAACTTTTGTATATAGCAAAAAGTAGATGAGCATTTAGTTTTTCATAATTTAATGTAAGTTTGTTTGGTGAAAAAGACAGCAAATATTTGAAGTATGTTAATGTAAGTTTGTTTATTTGCAATCATGTTTTTATTTTGAAGTCTTGTTCTGTTGTAATTTTAAGATTTTCCCAATTTTCGATCTAATTACGTTTCCAACAATTTTTAGCTTGAGCATTTTAGGAATTTCTTTGTTTCGTTTAAATCAAATATGCTCGTGTATAAAACCCTCTATATATTTTTATTTCCTAAAAATACTATATTCGTATTGTTGTCTGCGAGCGCTTTCACACCAGTAGGCCAACATCTGTTGATTTTTTGACCTGAGCCTTCGGAGACAATAAATTTAATGTGTGTTCGTAGTTCTCTGGTTTTTATTCTGAACTATCCCTTGGCAGACCAAAATTTATTTTTTTATTGCTCCACTTAACGAGAGCTCGGGCGGACACGTCGGTGTCGGCTTACTGATCGAAAGTCAAATTAATACTATTATGTAATAACTAATAATAATTACAAAGCAATAGTAATTACCTGTTATTATTCTTAGGAAATCTAAATAAACTTATTCCTTTTCCTGTCACAGATGAACATCCGCGAAACGCACAACAATAACCAGAAGACATTTTAAATACTTATAAATTAAACTTTTAACTATAAACTATAACTATAAACTTATATATTTAACTTATATATTTTAACTATAACTATAAACTTTTAACTACTAAGTAAATTAGATAAATGGTCAAATGCACTTGTATAGTCGAGAGTTTACCACAGATGCCTACGGATTATCGTAAGCAACCAAAGTTGAAGAAAACGCACATGTTTTTGACAGTAAAGCACCCTATTTGGGTCATGCGTATACAGAAAAGATACACGGATTTCGGGCCTCGTGTCGCTTCTCTGTGTTCGTAGTTCTCTGATATTAGTTGCAGTTAGTTCATGATACATACAAGCGAAGATATGATACCACGCAGATGTGGGCGGGCCTGTTAAACGTCAAGTGACGTCAAGAGGTGACTATCTCGACATTTAGTTTAAGTTGTTTACATTTACATTGTAAAGGTTTTAAGCTTTTTTACGATTTTTTCACTCTAAAATTATTTTATTATTATTTTGGATTTAAAAATATTGGTGCAAAATGAGGTGTGCTGTAGCAGGTTGTAGTGTGAACAACCAATCAAAGTGTTATGCGAACGATATAAAGTTTTTTAGGTTCCCAAAAGACAAAATTGTGAGAAGTGTTTGGCAGCAAAGATGTCGGCGACAAGATAATTTTAATTTAGATACTGCTCGTATTTGTTCGAACCATTTTACCAAAGAGGATTATGTGCGGAATTTAAAACATGAGTTATTAGGATATACACAAAAATATTTTTATAGATCTTTAAAAAAAGAAGCTGTTCCCTCCAAAAATTTGGCGCTCTCTTCAATAAAGAAACTTGAAAATAAAGACTTGTTAAGGGAAAAGCGGCAAGAAAGAAGACAGCAAAAGAAAGTTGTGGGGAACTTTTACAAGTGTAAGTAATTGGGAACTTTGATTGTGTTTGAATTATTTCTGTTATTTAATTTTTTACAGATGTGATACTAACCATACCACCAATTTAAATGAGAGCAATGAGAATGGTACTGATAGCAGTTTAACTATTAGTACAAGTACAATTTCAGGTGATTGCTTGCCAATAAATTTTCCTTCTACTAGTTTGTCAGAAGAATTATCTAGCAATGGATATGTATGCTGTTTTGATAGAAACTGCAGGAAAAGGGTATCCTTTTTTAAAAGCAATCTGTAAGATTAAGAAAAATATGAGTGTCATATGTTTGCATTTCAATAATGAACTAATGCTGATGAATGAACTACGCTCTTTGACGGGCAGAATAGATAACAACTATTGCTTTAGGTATGTCCTCAACTTTCCATTTAAGGCGAGTTTTTGAATTTTCTAATTTTTTAGGTGCTCCTCACTCCTCTTTTACCCTTCAACCATCGATATGTTTTGACGTCCACTACAAATATTTCTCCGGTTTTGCAAATAGAACATAATAAATATATTGTTATTTAAAGCTAATAAAAACTGTTTTACAAAATGTTTTCTATTTTTTATTTAACCCAAAAACCTATTATTTCTTGAAAGGAAGTAAGTATTTATTTTATGTTGAAATTTAGTCATAACTCCCCATAAGCTATGGATAGGTAATAGGCCTAGAATAAATCAGCCAAGAATCATAACTATAACCTGTTATGCACAAGCTCCAGTGCAAATAAGAAAGAAAATGGACAAAAAGGCAATCAAAGGTTATTTGATTAGTTATAGAGGAGAAGATACAGTACCATTTTTCTAAATATTTTTTAATTTTCAGAAATCAGTTCAATTGCATCTACAGGATAATACCTCTATATGTATCCCAGAATTTTTATAAATTTAAAAATGAGTGATTATATAGACATTTTTCAATTAGAAAAAAATGAGATCGATGATGAAATAATCTCGCAGAATTATGAATATATAACCTAAGACATCGTAATCAAACTAAAAAACCTTGACACAAATTTTCACTGAAAAACAAGTTGCAGATGTAATGACCAAACTTCTAACGGAAATAAGAAATCAGATCATTCTTTCAAAGACTGGACTGTAGATCCGAAAAATCTTTTTAATAAGAAAAAAAATGTTAAAATTTAGTGTTAATAAGGTTTTATTCATGTCATAGTTGGTGTGACATAATAATTTTAATAAAAACGCCACTATTTAAAGTTCACATTAGTCTATAAATAGTTTATATTTAATAAATCCATAATTCACAAAAGTTTACATCCATTATTTTTATCACTACGTCTCGTAAAAAGAAATTTAACATAAATAATCCATAAGATTCCAGTCTGCATGTTATCCGTTGTTTTAAATTGGCGCCATTTATCGTCACCCCTTGACGTCATGCGCAGAGTCGAACGAATTTGAAACACTTTGCGATCATATCTTTATATTATAGTATCATGCAGTTAGTTATTAGAAAAAAAAATTATAATTGCCCATTGGTAGATTAGCGGCTAAACTTGGCAATACTGTCAAAACTTTCAAAACCCTAGTTGCCAGATGTTCAGCAGATTTCAATTGTATGACTATTTTCTTATAATTTTAAGATGAAATGGTACCTGGGCCCTGATTCTAATTGAGATTTCGACTCAAAACATGTCGAAATTAATATGGCGACGTCGAAATGCGACTTTGCGAGCCTAGTGGATTTCAGCTGAACTAACCAAAGGACGTCACTAATTTTCGATTTATCGAAATTAATTTCAACTTCAAGAAAGTGGTTGATATTTTATTTCGAGTCGAAATTAATATTAATGTGACATGACTGGTTGCTCTGGACTGGGAGAAGCACAAAGTGAGATTAGGTTCAGTTTAGGCAGACCATTGTTTTGTTTGATTGTTGCAAGGAAAACTGAGGCAAAAAGTATTAATATGGCTGCGTTTTATGAGAAATTGTATGTGATTCGGCACATAATTGGTCGAAATTTTGACACCTATAAAAATAGAACTGCCGTACCTGGGGCCCCAAGCCAGATGCTATTGATTCTTTTTTTAAATACTGTGGTGCAAAAATTAAAGAAATAAAATGTCCCAATATTAAAACTAAATTGGAAACCACAATGTTTGAAGATATTCAACAGCTGTAATGGAAGATAGAAATAATAAATAATTTGGTTGTAATAATTTATTTGTTCTTACAAATTATGTGTTTGAATGGCATGCTCTTGAAATTCTACTCTCTTATTTGGAGATATAAAATAATCTTTAAACTCATCACGAATTTTTAGAGCCGTTATGTATTGTTTTTAGTAATACATCTCCTACTTTCAGTAGTTCCGATGCTATTTGATCAAATCCCTGTGATTTATTGTTTTTAAATTTGGCTACTGCTGTTCTAATCTTGGTTATTGTTATTGTTGGTGCCTGGTGGGCACTTTTCTCTGATGTCTGCTTGGTCTAATTGTACCTATATCAAAGTTCTCCTCCAGCCGCCATTATGACATAAGTTTTACAAATTGGCGCATTTCTTGTACAAGAAACTGCAGCGGACACAAATTCTTGTATCGTTTCTGATATAATAACTATAAGCTTGTATAACACTATCCATTTTTTTGTTATATCAGAAACAATATAAGAAATGATACAAGAAAATGCATAGTGTTATATGGTCTTAAGAACAATGTTACGGAATACTCAAAATCCTTTTTCACTAAAGATCTACTAAGCATCACTAAGTGATGCTCAATTTAGGCAGCAATTCCGCCTTAATAAACAAGCTGCAAATTATTTGATAAGGATATTAGAACCATATTTGGAGGATGGTGTTTATGCCTCTAGGAGACTCAAAATGTTTAGAATAAGTATAACACTAAGCTGCAGTAAATTTAAAAATATATTAGAATATAACCACTAAGTCAAAAGCCACCATAATTTCTTTTTGGTCCACAGACAATTTAGTGCCACCACCACCGACAGTATCTCCATCCATTTTCTTTCAATTCAAAATATAATAATTGAGAATGGCCACTAAAATTTTAACAACTCAAACAAGAAACAAAAGGCGTAACGTAAAAAAAACAAACATTTAACAAGCGTGCATTGCCAATAATTTTATATGTGAGAGTGGGAAATATTTGAGTATATGGCAACACTGACGTATATTAAGCTTACAAAGCGTCGCCGTCGCGTCTACTATTCTTTGTACATTCTTTGTTACATGCTTACATACGTACGTCAAACAAACATATCAACAAGGTTATGTTCATTGTTCATTGCACCAATATGTGCCAATCATAGAGAAATAACAAGTGCCAATATTGAAGAAAACCGTAATTTGTACATAAAATCAAGTTGAATAATATGGACATAAAACAAGAAGCTATTGGGAAGACTTCTAAAATAGAAATAGATAATGAGACCTGTGATGTCACTTTAAATGCTTTCAAAATTGATATTAAGGAAGAACCCAAAACAGAAAGTATCTACCACACATTTGATTATTTAGACTTTAATGAATTCTCAGTAAACACTAACATAAAACAAGATTTGTTTGATGAAAAGAAAACAAATGAAGAAAGTAAGTAAATAACACTGATTAGTACAATAACATGAAAACCAATTAATTGTATGTTAAGAATGTTTATTATTAACTAAGGTTAGATAATACCAAAGAATATAGACCCATATTCTTTGATAATATTACCATACATTAAAAATAGTTGTTGATTTGATTTTGTAGATAAATATGTACAAGTACAAGACATCCCTTGCCAACTAAGCCCCACAATTGTATTTGATACCTTTTTTAATAATGTTTCCGAATTATCAAAATAGAGAATTGAGGAATAATGAAAATGTAATGTAATTATTACTAACATGTATATGGGTCATAAATACTTATTTTCTGATAAAATAAACCCTCCTATAGAATTTCCAAGTTTCTATTTGTGTTCAATGTCTAGTGCGAACATTTGCTACATCTTTTTTTACAACTTCATCTACACTATCCTTCCATTTAAATTTTAGCATACCCTTACATCTTTTTCTGCCAGGGTCTAGCATACATTGTCAATGTGTCTGTTGTGGATGCTCCTGTTCTTCATATTATCATTAGCTGTAGGAGAGATCATTGACCTCTTGAATAATAAGTGTATTTATGTATATATTTCTTCTAGAAAAATATATTTGTCTGTTTTAGGTTGTTAAAAGTTACAAATTATCAAATTTTTCCCCATCTCATTTACCTAAGGGTTCTGGCTAAGATAACTATTCCTGGTATTCAATACAATCCTCCTGGTGTCACTAGATTTCTCCATTTTACAACAATGATATCTGAGTATGTAAGTGATAACACCTTGACCTCAATTTTCTGAAATTTAATATTATTTTTGTGCAGCAGGCAGTAATAACCTTTTACTTTCTATTGGCCTGGACATCATTCTCATTATTTTCTTAAAAATTAAAAGTAATTTGTGTACAGACATTTAAGTTGAATAATAAAAGAAAATAGAATATTTTAAATTCTGCTGCCTTGCACAATAAGTACATGTTTGTAAAAAAGTTTGGCAACATTTTGCTATCTTTGAAATGAATAAAGATGAATATATTTATATAACATAACATTATGTTCTGCATTTCTTAAACATATCTTCTTCTTTATGTGCCATCTTCTACCGAAGGTTGGCGACCATCATACAATAGGTTTCTCTGTTTTGTGCCGCATGAATTATGTTCGCAGCTTCTGGTATTTGAAACCATTCTCTCAAGTTTCTCAGCCAGGATTTCTTCTTTCTGCCCAAACCTCTTCTACCTTCAATCTTGCCTTCCACGATAAGCTGTAGCAGACTGTACTTATCATTACGGAACACATGGCCCAGGTATGACGCTTTCCTCCTTTTAACAGTTGTTAACAATTCCACCTCTTTACCCATTCGTCTTAATACCTCTGTGTTGGTCACTCTGTCTGTCCAAGGTATTCTCAGTATGCGTCGATACAGCCACATTTCTAGAGCCGCTAACTTCTTTATAGTTGCTGCTGTTAAACGTCCACCCTTCTACGCCGTAAAGTAGCGTAGAGAGTACGTAGCATTTCGTGGCGCGCCATCGGAGGTTAATGCTTAGGTTGCGGTTGCTTAAGAGCTTTCTCATTTTGATGAATTTGGATCTTGCTATTTCAATTCGGATCTTAATCTCTACTTCTGGTCCCACTTGTCATTTACTGTATATCCCAGATATTTAAATCGGTGTACTCTTTCAATACGTTTGTCTTCAATATGCAGGTAGATATGTTGTAATTTTTTTTTACTGATCACCATAAATTTAGTTTTCTTTCTATTGATGTTCAGTCCAAATCGGCTGCCAGTTGTATTAACTCTATGTAGCATCATCTGTAAATCTTCGATGTTATCGGCAAGTATAATAGTATCATCTGCATATCGAAAATTACTTATTGGTACGCCATTAATCTTGATGCCCTCATTGTACTCTTCTAGTGCCTCTAGAAATATTTGTTCCGTGTACAGGTTGAAAAGCAGTGGCGAAAGAATACAGCCCTGTCTTACCCCTCTAGAAATGGTTATGTTTTCACTCACCATATGTCCATTCTTCGCTGTTTGATTCCAATATAGATTTTTTATAATCTGGATGTCCTTAGTGTCAAGTCCTAAAAGATGTAATAGTTCTATGAGTTTGTCAATGAGTTTAAACATATCCTTCAAGTTTTTATGACAGCAATGTTTCCTTTACTGCTGGCATCTTGTATTTTTTTTAATATGTAGTGTTAAAAAGTCTATTGATTAACCAATGGTTACATGAAGCCCAACAACTAGCACAGGGCAGAGAAGGATGGAGGGAAATTGTGAAAAAACTGTGAAGGCCTGATGGTGTCACCACATCCCAAAAGGGATTAGGACTGAGGAGGAGGAGGAGTTAAAAAAGTCTGACAACAAGATTATCTCTAATTAATAGCCTGGTAGTTTTTTAACATAAGTGCAAAACAGTAGTAGACATGTAGGTTCTCAACTAACATTAAGCTCTAAGGCAGTGGTGCTCAGACTTATACTGCATGGGATCTACCACATAAACTGCAAGTGTCAGGAGATCAACTGCTAACCCTGTTTTTAAACCAGGTGGAGTAATTCAAATTTACTCAATTTTAACAGTTTACTCCACTGTTATGCAATTTTGGCACTAATGGCATTTCGTAGGCTAATTAAATTATGTCAGCAATTTTTTGTGTTTCCTGCATTATTCTTTTAATTTTTAGATTCTTAGTCTGCTTTTATATAAACAGTTGTTTTTAGAACTCTTTTAGCGGATTACCTCCGAAGGCTGATATGATCAACCAAAAAAGAAGATGTATTTAGTAACTTTTCTTTCTTTAACTTTTTCGGATCGAGCTCACAATAGTATGAGGGCAGCCTTAACACTACTTTGTTTTGGCTTTTTGCCATCTCATCAATGATATATTTATTACATTGTCCTTTATGTTCCTTAATGATAGCCAGTAGTTGCACTTTTAACATGGAGTCCTCAAACCCTATATTTTTTTATTTTAGCCACGATTGAATGTCAGCTTTTCTAGAGCCATTAGTTGGAATTTTTTCCTATTTTCTAGAATAATAAGATGCATTGTCCAATATGATGATGGAGTTGTCTTCTAATCGGGGCAGTATATTTTTGAACCAATTTTCGAAAGATTTCCTGTCCATCTCTTCATGGTAGTCCCCACTTTTTTTTATTCAAACAGCCACAGTCCTTCTGGAACAAACCCATCTTCACTGCGAATATGACAGATTATTAGTCTTTTTCCTTTTCCTAAAAATTTTATTATTTTAAAATGTACTTGAAATGAAAAAGCACATAAACATTGACCTGCAGGATAATTTAGCTATGTATATGCCAAATTTCATGTCAATCCAAGTGGATCTTTAATATTTTTAGCAAAAACCGTGAATAAATGGACAAAAAAGGAAATAAAACTTTTCGAAACATCAATTAATTAAAATATTCGTTTTTCTTCTTCTTCGCGTGCCATATCAGAACTATCCGACGTTGGCGATCACCATTACGAAGGCTTCTCGATCTTCTGCAATATGGAATAATTGTCCTGTATTTGGTATCTGAGTCCATTCACGAATGTTTTTTAACCAAGAAACTTGGAAACCAAGAAACTCTTGCTAAAGTCAAATCCCACTATTTGGGAGAGTGATTTCATAGTTTAAAAGCGTAATATCCTCAAATTTAAATGTACACAGCGTCCCTCTAAAACTACCCGTTTTCTCAATTGCAATTTGCGTTTTCTCATAAGAAATTAAAGAATATATAAGTAGTATATTTCTTTGTGCTTCTCTATAGAAGAGTTGACCAGGAGTTGTCGTACAGTGTAGCCAATTCGTGTTCACAAGTAGTAATTATTGTCATACAAAGCGTGTATTCTTCCACGCAGCGATTATCACCATCATAAAAATACAAAAAACATGATTGTTTCAATAGTTAAAATTAATCACAAAATTATAATAAAATAAATTTTATTTATATGTTCCGTTTTGTTACATATTTAAATTTATAAAATAAAAATCGATATCTTAAAACATTATTTTTCAATCTTTTGGCAACCTTATGCTTGAGCGACGGAATTCCGACTCACAGATAGACATAAAACTCGTTTGACGGTAATGCTGATCAAGAAATCAACTCAACTATTGTTCATTTACATTGGCGTTTCGGAAGGTAGGGCATGTGTTCCATTTTGTGAATATATTTGTGATAGGTTTGTGTTATTGATAATATGAGTGTTATAGTTTGTCGTTTTATAGTAAATTTTTAGTTATATTCTGTGATTATTTGGTTGGAGTTTCTGTTTATATTGAAGTTTTATATATATGTAGTTTTATTTGTTTATATTTTATGTATATATAGTTTTATATAGTTATATTCTGTGATTATTTCATTTTAGTTTTATTGGAGTTTTGGTTTATACAATGGACGAAAAACCGAGTTGTTCCAAGAGAAGAAAGCAAAATTCTGATGTTGATTCCGATTCCAAAAATGAAAAGTCGCAAAAGAGACGGAAAATGTTAACGTCCAAAGAGAAGGTAATGATACGAAACGTTTATGAAAGAATTGTCGGCAGAAAATGGCATTAAATGTTAGCCAAGCGATCGACATGTGTAGCAGTTTAACAAAAGTATCCGTTAGCTGTATTTATCGTGTAATTACAAATACATCGGAAAATCAAAAGCAAGAAAAAGGTAAAACTAGAGGTAGGAAAAGCATTGTTTTAGATGACGAGACAAGGAATATTATACGTCGAAAAATTCATTCATTTTATTTTCGGAGTGAAATTCCAACACTGAAAAAAATTTCTCAAGAGCTCGAAAACGATGACTCCTTACCCAAGATATCTCGTAGAGTCTTAATCAGGACCATGCGCGAAAAGAACTCTCGATATGTGAAATGCAACAGAAAAAGTATGCTATTAGAAAAAAATTAAGTTCATATCGAAGTTTTACTAGAGACAATTATAATTACACCAGGTGAAGATAATGACAGCGCTAGCAGCACTGCATTTTCAGATTTAGACA